TTCTAGGAAAAGAAGAGAAGTTTTAGAATTAATGCTTGAATAAAATCAAAAAATATAGTTTACGTATGTCTGAATTAGCCATTTCTCTTTTTTTTTTTTTCTCATCTTTATTTTTTTAAATTGATTGGATGATTTTTTTTTGTTTTCTTTTTCTTCACATCTGTTTGTCTTTTTGCTTCATCTTTTCTCTTTTTGCTTACGGTTCTAAATTCTTCACTCTAAATTTTATGGTCATTTTGTCTCATCGAAGGTATGCGTCTGGTGTTGTTTTCTATTCCCCTATTTTTGCATAATCCCTGCTTAATTTTTGTTTGTTATCTCTGCCCAAATTTAGTTCCTTTTCAGGTTTGTTTGCATAATAAGTCATTTTATGGAACTACAAAAGGTTAATGTCTTCTTACTTTTTCCGCAATTTTTATTTGAAAAAGCTAAGAGGTTTAGCTTTATCATATTTTCATATTTGCCTAAAAGAATTTCAAAAAATAGCAGGCAACCCTATCAACTGAATTTTAAACCAGTAATTTTAATCTATTTTTTCTAGCTGTAAAAGATTAGAAAATTTCAAATTTTACTATTAGCGCATTATTTTAGGCAAATTATCCGTTGTTATCAGGAACAAACAACTAGATAATACCTCATTTAGCTATCGATAATAATGCTAATTCGATGAGTGTACTATAGCTGATTAGCTTATATGCAATTCTTTCATGTTTATTTTCTGGTGACACATACCTTCATAAATGTTCCATTCCCATTCATATATTAGTTTTGCTTTGTAAATATGTTTTGTTTTTTTTTTTTTCTTTCTCTCTCTTTCTATCTTTGTAATATTTGTAATAAATGCGCACCAATTTGTTGTTAACTTTTAGGAATTAAGTTTTAGGAGTTACTTTGTTTGAATAATATACAAACGAAAATATGAATTCACTTTTTGTTTTTATTTTTGCAACAAAAGTTATGGAATGATTCGAATAAAATATCATGAAAGCATCATTAGATTTCAATTTCAAATGATTGAAGTTTTTCTTTTTGAAGTTTGTAATTTCAGTTTTAGAGTATTGCCTAAATATTTGGTTTAAAAAAGAACTAAATTTTGTTTTTGTTGATTCAGTTCTGTTTTGAGCTAAAAATTTTCCATGTAAATTTATTTTAAAATGTTTCACTTTTCTTCTGATGTATTTTAATTTGCAAATTTATACTGGTTTTATTTCTTGATTTTATGCTTACTTTACTCATGAATGCAGTTCTATTGAAAATCAGGATATTGCTACCAAAATTGCACATTTTATTCTGTTTTATGTTTTCTAAACTATCATTACTTTTGTTATTTTTATCGACTGATAGCGATATATGTTATCCGAAATATGTTTTTTTTTTCTTTGTTTTAGTATGTTTATAAAAAAAAAAATATGAACTTGTGAAATATACTTTGCATAACATTATCAGAAAAAAAAAAATCGCAAAATTGCCTTCATTAAATTTAAAGAAAAAAAAAATCAGTAATATTAAAAAATATAAAGTTTAAAAAAAGAGAAGTTTTAGCTAATATTCGTTCAATAAAACATCGAAAGATAAGAAGTAGCCCAGTTATTTTTTTAAATATCTTATTTTCTTCCTATGCCATTAAAAATTTAATAATTCGAATGTTTTATAGAAATTCGATTGATAAAAAGCGTAAATACATTAGACGAGAACAGGTAACATGAAACTAATAAAATATCATTATTTGTTATTCGAGTGGTTTTTTTTTTGTTAAATTTCCTATTTCTATTTTAGATTTTTCAATAATTATCTTACAAATGAAGAAATTTTTCCTGAACTGACAATGACTAAAGTGTTAATTAATTAGTTCACAATTCGAATTATTCTCAATAATTTATTTAAAACTTATATAGATTAAACTTTCAGTCAATACTACTAATTTTAACTGCTTAATATGATCAATATTTCCTATATTTTACGTTAAATTTTACAAATTTTAAATTTATAAAACAATCGATGAATCATTTTTCAAAGCCTTATTTATATTTAAAAATAATTTGTAAATTTTTAAAGATTAAGAGAAGATAATTTTTGCAATAATAGTCTTAGAAGTGTATATCATTGTTCAATCTTTTAGATATTCAAAGAAATTTAATTTACTCAAAAAAACAATGAAATAAATTTTGGTAAATAGGATTATTACTGCAGAATGTTAATTAAATTTTATAAACTTTAATTGATAAATTTATGCTTATTGTTATAATTAATTAATTTAACCAAAGTTTTCATTTAAAAGTAAAAACTCATACAATAATAATAACATAAAGAAGAATGAGTAATTCTGTTTATTTTATTTTATCTTTCTTAAAAATTAAATAAAAATTAATTTACTGAGAATTTGACAGATTATTCAACGATTGATTATCTGAGTAATAATTTTTTATCACTATATTACTGCATTTAAATTTTTTATTTATATACTGTCACATTCGCTAAAATACTGATTAAAATTCATTTTTAACATAAATGCGCAATTATCCAAGGAAAAAAAAATTAGAAACCACTTGATTTTTTATAAGTTTTTGATTACTTACAATAATAATTGAAATGAAAATAAGCTGTTAAGTTGCATTTTATATTATCAAATAAAATATTAAATGAATTTGCAATGAAATTTTATTAATGATTGAATCAAAAAGAAAACAAAACTTTTATAATAAGGGACTACTATATCGTTAAATAAATATATTATAATCAAAAAAACTACAAGCGTAATAGCTAATAAAAATAAAACTGTTTCTAATTATTTAAAAAAATTTTTTTTTTTACAAATAATATTTTTTTGATGTTTTAAAATTATTTTTTCCCTATTGAAATTTGTAGCACAAAATCAAAGTAAGAAGCAATCATAATTGTTGCTAATATAAAATTTTAATAACTTTTTGTTTTTTAATCTTATAAGCAAGCTGTTCGTTTAATGTCGAGAAAATATCATCGATGAAAATCAAAATTTTTAAAATTCGTTTGCTAATAAGCATAATTAAAATAGCAAACTATTTAGATTAGTTCTATTTCAATTCATCAACAATTCTTTTATATAATTCAAAATTTTTTCAAATAATTTTTGACTTCTAAAATTGATCACATTAAAATTTATTTACATTTTAATCATTTTCTTCATTTTATGAATTGAAAATTTGAGATTTGAATACACAATCAATTTGTTTTGCAAGAAAAGTTAACTTACACAAAAATTATGATTTTATAATGTCATTGGGAATTTGTAATTTTAAAATTTAAATAAATTCTTAAAACTTAATTCATTTAAATTGATTTCAAATATGCAACAAATGAGTTAATATTTCAACAGCAATAATTAACATTTATATATTCTTAAATTAAAAGAATAACGCTGAAATTATTTCCTATTTTCTCAGTTGCAATATTTTAATAATTAAAAAAATCAAATTTAGCTTATCTCTCGGAATTATTGGCAGTTAAAATTTAGTTTGAATGAAGTACACTAGTAATAATAATGACAATTAAACATAAAATTTATGAAATTTGTTAAATCGATTGCAACATTTCAAGATGGATCACAGAAATTTTGAGTGACACTGTTAAATGGTTTTTCTGCAAATACTTTTTTTTTTTTTCTTTTCTTTCATGTTTGATTTGATAAGTGGGTAAATTTAAAAAGAAAAAAAAAATGTTTCATTTTTCTTTACCTTACCGCCATCTCATTAATTCTCCGTTTTTACTTATTTCATTACCTTCTATCAACTTTTACATTCCTATACTTCACACCTTTCACTTATTCATCACTTTTTTTTGAATGCAAATTTGTTTGTTTATGCATTCACTAAACAAACAAACAAACAAACAAACAAAAAGAGAGAGAAAAGGAGGAAAAATTCATAAATTAATAAATTATTTAACAAAAATTGAAATATTTCTCGAAATAATTAATAAATTTTTCATCATATGTTTTTTTTTTTTCTTTTTTGTTATTTTTTCATTTTAATTATTTAACTTATACAGAAAACGGTATAGAAAAAAGTTCTAACTTTACTGCTTACTTTCACTATTATTACAGATTAAATTCACTATAAATAAACTTAACTTTATTATATATACAACTTTAACTTTATTATTTATATGAAAATATTAATTACCACCAATCATTTTAGCCTTTCAGCTCAAATTAAATAAAAATAAGTGCAAATGATGAGTCATAATTATTATATTATAATCATAACTATTTCAATATTTCTCAGTGTTTTTAAAATATACCGTTTAATTGCAATACTACAGTTAAACGGCACACATGTACACTCACGTATACTTAAACGACACACGTGTACACGCACGTATGCTTGAACGATATACGTGTACACTCAGCAAGCATTTATAGCCTGTTTCCAGTATAAATGTCCTAAAGAGGCCACATATCATGAGTCAAACGTCACACGAAATATTTGTTAACGGGAATAAACTGTGAAATATATGAAACAAAATCTACCGAATAAAACTAATTGAAATGACCTTTCACCTCTTAGCATTTATTTCATTGCTATTCAATTATAGTACAATAAATAATAATAATAATAATAATAATAATAATAATAATAATAATAATAATAATAATAATAATAATAATAATAATAATAATAATAATAATAATAATAATAATAATAATTAAGTCAAATGATTAAAAATGAAATTGAGCAAAATAATACATATTTAATGCCTCTTTACACGACTAATTTCCAAATAATTGGTAAATAATAGAAAATAATAATAATTAATAAATAAATAATAAATGCGATGAAATTGCAACAATTAATTAGAGCGCTGTTCAACAGTCTTTGATTTCTATTATATTTGATAAGCAAATTATATTGATAATCTATTTGTTTGAAAAAATCTGAAAAAAAAAACTTTAAATTTGGAAAAAAACATTATCTGTTATGCTTGCTATTATTAGATATTATTACTTTATCATTCGATGTCGTTGCTTAATCATTTGATATCGTTGCTTTATCATTTGATATCGTTGCTTTATCATTAGATATCGTTGCTTTATCATTAGATATCGTTGCTTTATCATTTAATATTGTTGCTTTATCATTTAATATTGTTGCTTTATCATTTGATATCGTTGTTTTATCATTTAATATTGTTGCCTTATCATTTGATATCGTTGCTTTATCATCTGATATCGTTGCTTTATCATTTGATATCGCTGCTTTATCATTAGATATCGTTGCTTTATCATTTGATATTATCATACCATCTTTGTATTTTCGCCAAATAATTTATTATTGAAGTTAGCTTTCATCAGCGGTAGGTATTGTCAAGTTATCATTTAATTTAATTTAATTAACTGATAAAACATGATAAGGAAATTAGGGTAGAGGTCTGAAAAGTTGCTTGTTTTTATATTTACATCGCATCTACCATGCTAACCAGAATTGAAATTTGTTTAATTGAATTTGAATAATTGATCATTCATCAGTTACCGGTTTTTATATAATTTTTAAATGATCAAAGATTGCAGCAGCATTATCATCGGTACTATAAATTGCTTTAAGAAGCAGCTTTTTCATAGGTCACACATAAATTAATATCTTTAATATGACCTTATCAGTTATTAAATTTCTAGCATTTATCAATTTTTCATTCATAATTTTGAGAATAAAATTTAGCTCTAACATTTAACAAAGATATAAAGTTTGATTTTCATAGCAATTAAAATGTATGATTTTTTGGAACAAAATTATCCCTTCAATTTTTTTAAAATTTTAAAATTTTCTAAAAATTTTGTCGTTTCAATTTTTAAAAAATTTCTTTTTTCGCACTTTTTTTGAACATTTTCTAATTCACTTATGATAATGTTATCAATGAATTTTCAAATAGCTCTGTGTCCGAGTAATTTTTTTTTTTTTTTTAAGTAAATATTAGAATATGATATTCTAAGAGAGGAAATCAAACTTGATGAACATTTCATGATCTAACAAATAGATTAGAAATAATCAATTCGGACCAGTTTTTATCTAATTAATGATTAGAAGTTTACATTATCAATTATTTGGAATGTTGATGCTGAGCAAATGACATGTCATGCATTACATTTAAATTCAATATATTTAAATTTAACATTTAATTTTTCCATTTTAAAATGTTACTATTCTTTCTAATTCAAATTAGGGTTTTTTCATAAACACATTTATATGTATTCGATTTAAATTACTTAAATTTCATCCTTATCATACTTTTTTCGGAATGCACAAATTCCTGGCTATTATCTTATTTTAAATTACATTATTATTTACTGATTAAGTAATGAGAAATGAATAAATGATTATTCAATCATTAAATTTCATTTCATAAAATTTCATCAATTGCTACTGCTAAGCAAGCAGTTTGTAATATTAGTGTGTGTTTAGTAATTAATTAATTAAATAATTAATACTTTATTCCATTTCGATATTTCATTATTACATTTTGTATATTTTCAGTAAATTTTTCGTTGTTTGTTCCATTTTTGTAATTCAAAAGCTTATTGTTATGTATTTTTCCTGAAATTAAAAATTTTCACAAATTGCCAGTTTTTGTCTTTTTTTACTGAATTTTTTTTCTTTCTTTCTTCTTCTTTTTTTTTTCTGATAATATAAAAATTTTAGTTTAAAAAAAAATTTTTTTTTTTTTAAATGAAATGTTTTGCATAAGAATAATTTCACAGTGCTATAATTTATTGTAAAGTGTTTGAATCATTTTATGATAATAAATTGCTAAAAGGCAACCCTTAATCAAGTTAATGCTGAAGAATTGGATGAAGAAGAAGAAGAAGCGGCATAAATGATAAAACCATTTGCGCCTTCTGAATGAATGTGATCGGATACCATGAAGAATTCATTTATCAAAAGCATGCTTGGAACCAGTATAAATGATAATAAATTCCATTGATCTTATCATTACATCATTATCAGCATTATCATCAATCAAATTAGATAATATAATTTATAAAGCTATCAATCATATTGGATCGTAATTATCATTGAATTATTCGTTGTAAAGTTAAATGAAATGCAATAAGTCAATGAGGAGAAAAATAAGAAAGGTAATATATGAAGAAAATATTATTATAATTAAAGAGAAATTGTTAGATAAGGAAATTATTATTGATAAAATATTTCAGATGTTCTAGCTTATCATAATATTTATCATGATAACTTTCATGTAATTTCATTCATTATCACTTCATTATCCTATTAGTATATCTTTTCATGAATATTAACTTATTGCCACTCATTTATTTTGACACAATCATTCCTAATTAACTGATAACTTATATATGCATTGGCATAAACAATTATTTTTATATATAAATTTTCACATTTATATATTTAAAAAATTTTTTTAAACATTTTTCATCATTTACTTTCTTTTTTTTTTTTTTGATTTTTTGCCTAAATGTAAAACTTAATAAAATTATATATTCCCTTTTTTTCTTACTTTTCATTTCTCTATTTGTTTATTATTACATATATAATTAATAATATAACTGATCATTTATCATTTATTGTAATAATGAGAAGAGTAGAATAATATCAAAAGATTTTTCATAATGACTGATAATTTCACGAATAGTTGTGATAGCAAACTGATTTAAAATGATAACAATAAATAAGCAAAACGAAACGATTAGAATGAAAACGAGAATTTTCAAATCAAATACGAATTAATTGCTGTGGTCAAAATTGTAGTGGTAATTTGTTAATAGATATTCTAATCAAAGAATACTTTTTTGATCCTCTCTCTCCTTCCATTTCTCTCCCTCCCTCCCTTCCTCTCTCTCTCTCTGTTTTGTTATTTTATTATTGGTCATTGAAGAATATAAAATACCGGAAAAGCCTGTTTGATCTTATTTAAAAATTATTATTAACGTATCGCTGATTGCATAACAATTTGCCTATATTATTATCATTGATAAATGATTAGTTTATTATCAGTATTATCGCCGAAAGCATTAAAGCATTAAATATTTCAGAAATATTTCTGTTTCAGCAAATGACAATTCATTCATTCATTTTATTCTGTCAATAAGTGATGGTCAGAGGTGATCAATTCAATAAAACCACTTGAAAAAAAAAAAAAAAAAGAGAGAAAGAAGCGAAAAAAATGGGATAAACTCGGTTTCGAAAAAGAGAAAAAAAACGAATTTTATCACAAAAAAAAAAAGTAAGAATGATTAGAAGAGCTTTTCCTTTATTCTTTATTTATCAATTAAAAGAGGTACAGAGGGAAAGAAATTTACGATAAAAAAGGAGAGAGAGAGAGAGAGGTAGTTGTGGTTAATGATGAAAGAAACTTGTTACCTGCATCATTCATTGTTATTCTGCGGTTAAAGTTGCTGTTTGATTTTGATGTATAAGAATTTGTCAAAATAAAATGAAAATCTTTCTTTATAAATTAATTAAATTAAAAATAATAATGAAAAATAATCAAAAAAAAAAAAAGCAAAGATTACTGAACAATAAGATATTAATATCAAAATATTTTCATATCAATTTGTTTATAAGTGATAAGAATTAATTTACAAAAAAAGAAAAAAAAAATCTGTTATTTAATGGTAAAATTAGAAATGGAAATGGAAAAAATGAAAAAAAAAATATTTGCAAAATTAAGTGTTGAATAATTTAGTAATTTAATTTATTATATTTATAAAACTAAAATAAAAAGAGAGTAAATAATTGACATTTAATAAACATTAATTTTAGTTAATTAATATAAAAAAAAAAATCTTAGTTCATGAAAAAATATTTCATTCAAAATTTTATCATCAAATATTATTTAGCTGAAAATATTGCTAAAAAAAAATATTGCAATTGGTAATATTGATTTTCAACTCAGTGATATCATTATTGATGATAAAGATAAGGCTGATAAGCTTATGATAAAGGCTGATAAGCTTAAAACTGTTAACGTATCATTGAAACTCAGTGGTTACTCTTTTTTTTTTTTATATCATGACGCATTTGACATATATTTCATTCAGTTATATGTGAGCAAAAATTATTTCAAATATATTATGAATTTAGGATTTTTGATTTTTTTTTTTTGTCATAAAAAATTTTTCCTTTTGTTATGATATTTAAAAGTATTGAATTTTTGGATTTTATTAAATGAAATTGTAAAAAAAAAAAATACTTTATCTGTTTGTCCATCTGAGTTTTTCGTTTTTTTTTTTTTTCTTTTGTTTTTTAATAAAATTTTAAAATGAAAAATTGAAAAAGTTAATTAGTTGCTGCTATTTGATATTGTTTGAGCGATAAAACATTTATGTGTGAATAAAACAACTAAAATATACTCATATGAAAAAATTTTCTTTATTGTTTAAAAAATTTAAAAAAATAAAAAAAAAAAAAACATTTTTTTTTTTCTTTCTTATTTTACAAATAGTATTAATTCATGTGTGAACAGTGAAGTATTTATTTACTTCATTTTGTTTACTACCGTTTAAGTTTGATGGACAATCTGTCATTATGATTTGTTGATGCGTATATTTGTTTACAATTGTGATGTGATAATCATGAAAATATATAAATAATTATATGTATATATTTTTTACAAATATATACATATAGTGATGACGCAAGAAAAGAAAAAAGAAAACTATTTTTTTTTTTTTGGGGTCAATAATGTCGTCGCTTTTTTCAATTAAATTAAATTAAAGTTTGGTTGAGTATGAGGATAGGAATGGACGAAAAAAAGGTGAACGGCAAGAAGAGGAAGTAAATTGGTTCAGTTGACTTTTTAAAATGCATTCACGTATAAATTGAAGGCAAAGAAGAAAAAAAAAAAAGGATTTAATAATGATTGAATGTTTTGCTCTTATTTGAAAGAGAGAGAGAGAGAGAGAGAGAGAGAGAAAGAAGAGAAAAAAATAAAAATAAAACAAAAATTTTTTTAAATTTAATTAGATAGCTTTATAGGCTTAACAATTTCGATCAAATCATTGCAATCTAATATATGGCACAAACAAGAGATAACGCTTGCGTTACACTTCAAAAAGTTCAATGATCCCATTGTAAAATGTGAAAAATATATGTTGAAATGATGCAATGGTTAATTTCTAAAAGGTAGAAAGGAATGAAATCTTTAGTTAATATAAAGTAAATGCATATAGCTGCTAGATGTTTTAAATTTTGAGATTAAAAATGATAAAATATTGCATTATTATGCAGCATTGATTAGTTTAAAAGTGCAATGTTTATTTGAATGATAA